AAAGTGAAGGATGGAGAAAGATATACCATGCAAATAGAAACAAAAAATGAGCAGTGGTAGCAATTCTTATATCAGATAAAATAGACTTTAAACCAAAAAACATAAAAAGAGACAAAGAAGGCCACTGTATAATAATAAAAGGATCTATCCAGCTACAAAATAATCGTAAATATGTATGCAACCAATATTGGAGCACCCAGATATATAAAGCAAACACTCTTATACCTAAAGAAAGAAATAGGCCCTAATACTTTAATAGTGGATGACCTGAACAACCCTCTCTCAATATGGGACAGATCTTCCAGGAAACAAATCCACAAAGAGACACAGGATTTAAACTACACCTTAGACCAACTGGACCTGGTAGATATATACAGAACATTTCACCAAACAACTAAAGAATATACTTTCTTCTCACATGGAACATTCTCCAGGATAGACCACATATGAGGTCACAAATCTAGTCTCAGCAAATTTTACAAAGTTGAAATCATTCCAAGTAACTTTTCAGACCACAATGGACTAAAATGGGAAATCAGTAACAAGCAAAACACTGGAAACTATACAAATACATGGAAACTAAACAATAGACTCCTGAATGGCCTATGGATCCAAGAAGAAATTAAACAGGAAATCAAGAAATTTCTTGAAACTAATGAAAATAAAGATAAATCATACCAAAACCTGAGGGATACTGCAAAAGCAGTAATAAGAGGGAAATTTATTGCAATAAATGCTTACATCAAAAAAATGTAAAGACTTTAAATAAATGACCTATCACTATGCCTCAAAGAACTAGGAAAACAACAACAATCCAATCCTAAAGGCAGTAGATGGAAAGAAATAATTATGATCAGAGCAGAACTAAATGAAATAGAGACCCAAAAAATGATACAAAATATCAATGAAACAAAAGGCTAGTTTTTCAAGATGATAAATAAAATAGACAAACCATTAGATACATTAACAAAAAAAAGAAGAGAGTAGACCCAAATAACAAAAATAAGAAATGACATGGGAGACATTACAAAAGGTACCACAGAAATATGAAGAATCATTAGAGACTATAATAAACAACTGTATGACAACAAATAGAAAAACCTGGAAGATTTGGATAAGTTTCTGGACACATACAAACTCCCCAGACTAAATCAAGAGGAGATAGAAAACCTGAACAGACCAATAACAAGAAATGAGATTGAAGAAGTAATCAGCAATTTTCCAACAAAGAAAAGCCCAAGTCTGGATGGCTTTACAGCTGAATTCTATCAAACCTTTAAAGAGGAATTAATACCAATTCTCCTCAAACTATTCCAAACAATTGAAACAGAAGCCATTCTCCCACATTCTATGAGACCAAAATAACTCTGATACCAAAACCAGATAAAGACACACAAAAAAAGAAAATTACAGGCCAATATCCTTGATGAACACAGATGCAAAAATCCTCAACAAAATATTAACAATCAGAACACAGCAACACATCAAAAAAATTATACACTATGATCAAGTGGGATTCATCCCAGGAATACAAGGATGGTTTAACACACGAAAGTCAATAAATGTGATACATCATATCAACAAACTCAAAAACAAAGACCATATGATTATCTCAATAGATTCCGAAAAAGCATTTGACAAAATTCAACATCGCTTCATGGTAAAGACTCAACAAATTAAGTATAGAAGGAAAGTATCTTAACAAAATGAAGGCCATCTATGACAAACCCAAGGCCAGTATCATTCTGAATGGGGGAAAACTGAAGGCTTTTCTCTTAAGAACAGGAATAAGACAAGAATGCCCACTCTTACCACTTCTATTTAACATAGTACTGGAGATACTAGCCAGAGCAATCAGACAAGAGAAAGAAATAATGGGCATCCAGATTGGAAAAGGTGAAGTCAAACTGTCCCTATTTGCAGATGACATGATACTATATGTGGAGAAACCTAAAGACTCTATTAAAAAACTCCTAGAGCTGGTTAATAATTTCAGTAACATTGCAGGATACAAAATAAATGACCAAAATCAGTTGCATTTATATTCTCTAAGAATGAGCTAACAGAAGGAGAATTCAAGAAAGAAAGCCCATTTACAATAGTCATCAAAAAAAATAAGATACCTAGGAATTAATTTAATCAAGGAGGTAAAAGATCTCTACAATGAGAACTACAAACTGCTCTTGAAAGAAATTAAAGAGAACACAAGAAGAGGGAAGACATTCCATGCTCTTGGATTAGAAGGACTAACATTATAAAAATGTCTATACTACCCAAAGCAATCTACAGATTCAATGCAATCCTGTCAAAACACCAATGACATTCTTCACAGAAATGGAAAACCAATCTTCACATTCATATGGAACAACAGAAGACCCCAAATAGCTAAAGCAATCCTGAGCAAAAACAATAAAGCCAGAGGCATAACATTACCTGATTTCAAATTATACTACAAAACTATAGTAACCAAAACAGCATGGTACTGGCATAAAAATAGACACTTGGACCAGTGTAGAAGAATGGAGAACCCAGAAATCACCCCTCAGGCTTATAGCCATCTCACATTTGACAAAGGTAACAAAAACATACATTGGAGAAAAGACTGCATCTTCAATAAGTGGTGCTGGGAAAATTGGATATCCATATGCAGAATGAAACTACACATGCATCTCTCACCATATACTAAAATCAACTCCAAATGTATTAAAGACTTAAGTATAAGACCTGAAATTGTAAAATTACTGAGGAAAAATATAGGTGAAACACTTCAGCAACTAGGTCTGGGCACAGACTTTATGAATACAAGCCCAAAAGCACAAGCAACAAAAGAAAATATAAACAAATGGAACTATATCAAACTCAAAAGCCTCTGCACAACAAAGGAAACAATCAACAGAGTGAAATGACAACCTACAGAGTGGCAGAAAATTATTGCTAACTTTGCATCCAACAAGGGATTAATATCCATAATATACAAGGAACTCAAGCAATTACACAGTAAAATAACAAAGAACCCAATTTTAAAATGGGCAAAGGCACTGGACAGACATTTTTCAAAGGAAGACATACAAATAGCCAACAGGTACACGAAAAAATGCTCAACATTACTAGTCATCAGTGAAATGTAAATTAAAACCACCTTCAGATATCACCTCACCCCAGTTAGACTGGTTATAATCAAAAAGAGAGTAACAAATGCTGGCGAGGACATGGAGAGATGGGAATGCTCCTATATTGTTGGTGGGACTGTAAATTACTACAAACAGTACGGAGGTTTCTCAAACAACTACAGATAGATCTTCCATACAATCCAGCAATCCCACTTCTGGGTATATAACCAAAGGAATGGAAATCATCATGTCAAAAGGATACCTGCACTCCCACGATCATCACAGTTCTGTTTACAGTAGCCAAGACATGGAAACAACCTAAATGTCTAAATGTTCATCAATGGACGATTGGATAAGAAAAGTGAGGTATATATACACCATGTAATGCTGCTCCGCCATAAAAAAGAATGAAATTCTCCCATTTGCAACAATGTGAATGAGCTTGGAGAAACTTATGTTGAGTGAAATAAGCAAAGCACAGAGGGATAAATACACATGTACTCACTCATATGTGGGAGCTAAGAGAGAAAGCAGGAAGGAAAGAAAGACCGCAGTGGTGCATTTGACTTCCAGAGGGAGAGAACATACCAAGGGATACAAAGTGGAGTGGGAGAAAGGGAGATGGGGAAGGAGGTTGGGGATAAATGGGCACAGGACACAGGGTGTAATCGCAATTTGTGATAATGGGCATGCTGCCAGTACAGATCTGGCCATCACATCTTGGGCACAAGTGATGACAATCAGCTTTGTACTCCATGAATATTCATAACCAATATAATTAATTAATTAGTTAGTTAGTTAATTAATAAAACATCCTATTGAGATCACAAAATAACCATTTTTTCTAGGGAATTGTGTCACGTGACCACCCCAGGTTTATACATTACTTGGTAATGAAGTATTTGATTCCACAACCTCCATGGATACTAATATCGACAGATGCTCACGTACCTGATATAAAATGGCATAGTATCTCAACATATCCAATGTATATCCCCTGGTGTACTTTAATCATCTCTACATTACTAATAATACCTAATATAATGTAAATGGTATGTAACAGTTGTTATACTGTATTGTTTAGGGACTAGTAACAAGGATAAAAGTCTATGCATTTTCAGTACAGATGAAAAATTTTTTTTCAAAATTTTGGAGCCAAGGCTGGCCCGGTGGCGCACTGCTATAGAGCGCCACTTGGGAGCGAGGTGGCGCTCCCGCCGAGGGTTCGGATCCCACATACAGACCAGTTCCCGCTCACTGGCTGAGTGAGGTGCGGGTGCAACACTGAGGGTTGCGATCCGTTGCCGGACACGAAAAAAAAAAAGACAAAAAAAAAAAAATTTTGGAGCCAAGGATCATTGAATCCACAGATGTAAAACCCATGAATACAAAGGGCTGACTGTACACAGAAATCAAATTCATCCTGTGTTTGAGACAAGTCAGGACCCTTGTTACCAGGAAAGAAAAAAATGTGCATCATGTCTGCTCAGAATGATTGAAACTGAATAGAGACTCCCTTGCAATCACAAATAGTTCATGCTGGCCTCATATGTGCCCTCAGAGTGGGACATAAGACCATTACAGCATCCTCTTTATCAAAGAGAGGTGGGAAAAAACATTGAAACAGTTCTTTACTAATACTTTTTATTCCATCACATTGCATAAGAAAGAAGAATACCACATCATCCTTGGTTATGGGCAGAAAACACATGAAGAAAATCCTGCACATTGGGAATTAAATTAGTAACTAAAGCACCCATAGAACTGTGTTTTATTAAATTTATGTCTGCAGCATGGACGGGGAGTATGCTGCTATGTTTCACTAGATTTATGTCTGCAGCATGGACAGGGAGTGTTAAAGATGCTTGTCTTTTTTCACATCAAAATCACTTAAAACAGCTTCCTGAAACTCAACAGCTGGCTGCATATTCGCCTCATTGCCAACTTCATCTCTTTGTTCCTAAAAGTGTAGATGGCAGGGTTCAGAAATGGGGTAATTACTACATCAAAAATGGCAAGAAATTTATCAACAGGCACTCTGAGAAAAGGCCATGAATACACAAAGATGCATGGACCAAAAAACAAGACCACGACTGTGATGTGAGCTGACAGAGTAGAGAGAGCCTTGGACAAGCCACCTGAAGAATGTTGCCAAACAGTGACCAAGATGAAGATGTAGGAGATAATCAAAATGCAAAAAGTTCCCAGAGAGATGAAACCACTGTTGGCAGTGACCATGAGCTCCAGTCTGTAGGTGACTGTGCAGGCAAGCCTAATAAATCGAGGAAGATCACAGTAAAAGCTGTCCACTTCATGGGGGCCACAGAATGGCAGGTTTACAACAAATACAATTTGGATCAATGAGTGGATGGTTCCAATGGTCCAGGCAGCCACCAAGAGTAAAATGCAAGTTCTGAAGTTCATGATGGTCAGGTAGTGGAGAGGCCTACATACAGCAACATATCGGTCAAGGGCCATGGCAACGAGCAGAACCATCTCAGTTCCTCCAATAACGTGAATGAAGAACATCTGAGCAATGCAGCCTTGGAAAGAGATTACTTTTTTCTCCTTGAAAAGATCATAAATCATCTTGGGGACTGAAATGGAGGAAACCCAGATGTCAATAAAGGAGAGGTTGGCCAGCAGGAAGTACATGGAGGAGTGTAAATTGGAGTCAGAGACAACTGTGAGCACAATGAGGAGGTTTCCTAAAATACCTGCTACATAGAACACAGAGAAAACTAGAAAGAGGACAAGTTGCATCTCCAAAGAACTGGTGAGTCCCACCAACACAATCTCAGATACTACTGAATAATTTTCTGTTTCCATGGTCTCAGTCACTTCTGGCTCCAAATTTGCCTGAAAGAACAGGAGAAATAAGAAAGTGGAATTACTGGCTTTATCAATCAGGGTTCTGTTATATAAGTAGAACCATTAGGAAATAATATGCTGAGAGACTGGTTACAGGAAGTTGATCTTACATAATCATGGAAGCTAGTTCAGCAATCAGTGAGTCCACTGTCTTTGTATCTGATGCTGTAGCTTGAGGTCCACAGGACAGGAAGTCAGGAAGGGAAGATGCATCTAAAGTTGAGGAGAGCGAGAATAAACTGGAACCCACAAGCAAGAGCTACAGCCACAAGGACAGACTGAAACCAGTGTCAGTTCTCAGTGCCTCTGACCTTGATGACACAGGCGTACTGCACAAGCCAGGGTCCTCTGTCACAGAGATAAATACACACATTTGGCCCATGAGTCAACGAACCTACAGGTAGATCCCAAAGAAGGTGTGGAGCTTCATTCCTGGCCACTGTCTCACACCAATGAGATAAGCTAGCAGATAAGTGACAACACGTGTGAGTTACAAATATGACTGCCGCTTTACTTCTGACCTCCAAATCTTGCAAAAGAGTCTCTCTTGCAGCCTCCCTCAGCTGGAAACATACAGAAAATAGAATTCTGGGAAATGTAGCTCATCCTAACCAAGTTGACACAATGAAAGCCACCACACTGGCTGTTAAAAAAGATTGTTCATGTAAGAAAGAAAGTGAAAAATTTTGAAAATTAACTATCACCTCTTTTTGCACAGTCAAACCATGACCACAGTGGCACTTAAATAGATTTGGGAAAGACTCTAAAACCACTTGTCCTAATCTCACCCCATCTTCCTCCAACTTCCCTTGTTATCACTGACTCTGTTTAAAATTTCACCGTGGGTTCTCCTCTGTCATCAGGGACTCATTTGGAGTGAGAAATGTGAAAAGAATTTCAATACAGTTTTAGGATGAAAAGAAAACAGAAGTTCTAAGTATTATATTATATGGCAATAAATTGTTGCCTCTGCTAGCCCACGGGGACTTCAAAATGCTTGATAATTTGGAGGTTGATCTCTCTTTCTCACAGTTCCAGGTATTTTGAGATTTCTCTGTAATCAAGACTTGATCTAATGACAATCTGGGCATCCCCATGAAGCTTAGAACTCAAATCAGGAGTATATTCAGTGAGGCTCATTTTAGGGCACCTCATAGGTATTCCAAAAATGCTTCCACTTATGAAGCAAATCAGAAAGCTAATCTAATTTCCAATTCTACATCCAAGACAAACTCTAAAAAATGTGAAAGCTGATCTAAGTTTTGAGCTGGCCAACTAGACTACTCATAAATTAATATAAGTACTGGAATTTTTTTTTTAATGTAGCTTGTTTGCCAGCCTTTAAACATTCAGAAGTTCCTAGAGGCCCCACAAAAATGACTTAGCAACATAGAAGATATTTGCAACATGTCTTGTGGAGAGAAAACACTCAATATTGTTTAGTGAATGGCAGGGTGGTTGAATTGTATGATGGATGGATGAATAAATGAACAGATAAATAAATGTGGAATTTTATTTGGTCAATTTGGATTTCAGTGTTAACCTGGAATTATTTTCTTTCATCAAATTGACTCCCCAATTTCTTGCTCTTTTGGAAGGGACCTAGTCACATCTTTTGAAATTTGATATTTGCTATATGGTAATCATTCGCCTTGGCAAATCTAATGCACCTTATGAAAAGTGTTTAGAGTTACATAATTTCAACCATTTCTGTCATACCAGAAAAATGAAAAATCAAGAAAGTACATCACCACCAAAAGAAAACTAACTCTCAAACTCTAGATCCTATAGAACAGGAAGACTTTGAAATGACTGACAAGGAATTTAGAGTAACAATTCTAAGGAAACTAAATTAGATACAAGAAAACTCAGACAACACAATGAAATGAGAAAAAATATACAGGATCTCAAAGAAGAAATGTACAAAGAAATCAATGCCCTGAAAAAGAATGTAGCAGAGCTTCTAGAGCTGAAGGTTTCATTCAAAAAAATAAAAAACAGGCTAGAACAAGCAGAAGAGAGAATTTCTGACCTTAAAGAAAGGCTGTTCAAATTAACACAAGCAGACCAGAAAAAAGAATTTTAAAAATTGGAGAAAACCTAAGAGAGATAACAGACAACTTTAAGCACTCAAATATCTGAGTCATGGGTATTCCAGATGGGGAGGAAAAAGGTGTAAGATTTGGGATGAATCCCAACCTCACATAGAACGGGAAGACTCGCCTCGAAGAGACCACAAGACCACGAGCAATGCAAACAGCATGAGGTTTATTATTTCCAACGCGTTGGGTTCTCACCGCCAAGCTGGGGTGAGACCCCGTCAGGCTGTTTAGCTGTCTTTTTATACATTTTTTAGGGCAGCTTTCCTGGCAGCCAGGAGACAAAGCAATAAACAGTATTCATTGGTTAACTTAAGTGACCTTAAAGCCCATTGGAGGGCACCCCACCTGTTTGTAGGTGATTCCCCTTTAATTTTTTTAACTGAAACATTGGGCCATCCGCAGGGTAACTTTGCCCAAAGATTACTT